CTAAAGACTTCCATATACACCGATGAACCTATAGAAAATATATGTTTTATGAAGGTTATTTTGGCAATTTAAGAATGGATCCTGATATTTTAACAAAGAAATTTTAACACACTTTTGACAATGTCAAGTGTCACTAGCACATTGGTCCAATTCTTTTTTCTTTTATTTCTGAAATTGTGACATCGAAATTGATGAGAGTTTCAGAAAATTGGGATTCCAAATATATCCCTTACCCTATTTCATTAGAAATCACCGTTTTTTCTCTTCCTTCTTGTTCACCATCTTCGTTCTAGCTCTCCCTTTTGGTTTTCAGTCTCCCTCTTCCTTGTGGTTGTCGCTCTTCCTTGTCGTTCTCCTTCTACGTTTTCGTTACATTTCTCCGTCTTGGTTTCGTCCTCTTTGTTGAGTGTATTGTGCGAAATGGCAAGTTCCGGTAACCATGGTCCTTGGACGAGCAATGTAAATGCATTCTTCTTTCATTTTGTTCATTGCGTTTTCGGTTTGGATTTGGGTTTTCCCTGTTTCGTTAAATTTTTTGTTGTTTTCGTTTTAGGGCTTTTATGTTTTGGTTATTTTGTTTGTCGTTGATGCAGTTGAGGGTTAGTCACTCATTTTCAACAAAGTATATTTCTACTTTGAACGAGCATTTGACAGAGGAGCACCGGTCACTAATTGCGGAGATGGTGGACAAAGTGTTTTACGTGAAGAATCGTCCATGAACACTGGATTTTTTTCCCGTGAGGCATGTCCACCAATCCACCTCCAATGAAGACTTATGTGAGGATGGGGTCACGAAGACGTTACAAGAGTAGAGTGCTTAGGACTCCTTACACTGGATTCCTTAGAATAAAATATGAGTGATATTTGTATAGATTTCTTAAGAGAAAGTAATACAAAATTGTACATAGATGAACAAATGTTTATAATTTGGAATATATTTTGTTCAATGTTAAGAGAAAGTAATACAAAATTGTACATATTATTAATCTTAATTGAATTTCCTTTGTTATTGTCATTGTGAAATGAGGTTTTGTTTGAATTGTTAATGAATAAAGTGGCCACTTTGATTAGTATTGATGTATTTGATGGAGGAATGAAACAATGCTTGTGACATGATGAAGTTAGGTGAAGTCCTGGAACTTCTGCACCAAAAAACATAGTTGTAATCGATTACAACTCTTTGGTAAACGATTACACGAGAAAAAAGTGGAATTTGTACAAAAACTTGTACTGCAGGAGCCAGTTGTGGTAACATAGGTGACCATAGTGTAAACCTTTATATTTTTGGCATAAATACAATGGTTTTGGTGTGATTTTGTTGTTTAGGTGTGATTTTATTGTAGGAAATCATGTTTGGACACCCCCTGTTGGACATAAGAAACAATTTTGTTGAGTTGAATAAGCTAGGTGAAGTCCTGGAACTTCTGCACCAAAAAACACACTTGTAATCGTTTACACATGTTTGGTAAACGATTACACGAACAAAATACAGGATTTGTACAGAAACTTGTACTATAGGAGCCAGCTGTGGTAACCTAGGTGACCATAGTCAAAAGTTTTAATTTTTTGGCATAAATCCACTGGTTTTCACTTGATTTTGGTGTTTAAGTGTGAGTAGAGGTTGAGAAGTCATGTTTGGGCACCCCATGATTGAGGAAAGGAACAATGTTTATGAGATGAGCAACTTAGATGAAGTCCTGAAACTTCTGTACAAAGAAACACAGTTGTAATCCTTTACAGATGCTTGGTAAACGATTACACGAAGAAAATTCAGGATTTGTACAGAAACTTGTACTGCAGGAGCCAGCTGTGGTAACCTAGGTGACCATAATCAAAATTTTTAATTTTTTGGCATAAATCCACTGGTTTTCACTTGATTTTGGTGTTTAAGTGTGAGTATAAGCTGAGAAGTCATGATTGAGCACCCCATGATTGAGGAAAGGAATAATGTTTATGGCAACTTTGGTGGTCTTCACTTGATTTTGGCAGTCTTTGGTGGAGGAAAGACCTAATGTTGGTGTCATGACCAAGTTAACATGCTGTCAACTTTGACCTTTGCTTGCTATTTTAATGATAACTTTTTCCACCGACCTCCAAATGATGTGATTCTTTTTTTATTAGAAACTAGACTCAAAAAGCTTTCCATTGACTACTAGTTTGTAATTTTTGGACATCTGAGTAGGTACAGTTTATTCCTTAATGTTAACGCTTTATATATTCCGCCAACTCTGACCTTTGCTGGTTGTTTTGCTAATAACTTTCTCCACCGAATTCCAAATGAGTTGACTCTTGTTTTGTTGGAATCTAGACTCAAAGACCTTTCAAATTATGTTATGGTAATCAATTTTAGGCCTTTTTTGCCATTGTAATCGATTACAAGGACCCTGTAAACGATTACACGAACAAAAATATGGTTTTGTACTTGTGTTGAAGGAGCCAGTTGTGAGCACATAAGTAGCCAAAAAAAATTTACGTTATTTTTTCATATTTCTTGAATGGATGAGAGTTCTTTTTAATGTTTAAGTGTGAGTAGAGTCTGAAAACTGGGTTTTGGGTAGTCTTTGGTGGAACAAAGACCCAATATTGGTGTCATGACCAAGTTAACATGCGGCCAACTTTGACCTTTGTTTGCTATTTTAATGATAAATTTTCCCACCGACATCCAAATGATGTGATTCTTTTTTTATTAGAAACTAGACTCAAAAATCTTTCCAATGACTACTAATTTGTAATTTTTGGACATCAGAGTACAATTTATTCCTTAAAGTTAACACTTTATATATTCCTGCCAACTCTGACCTTTGCTGGTTGTTTTGCTCATAACTTTCTCCACCGAACTCCAAAGGAGTTCGTTCTTGTTTTGTTGGAATCTAGACTTCAAGACCTTTCAAATTATGCCTTGGTAATCAAGTGTAGGCCTTTTTGGCCATTGTAATCGATTACAAGGACCCTGTAAATGATTACACGAACAAAAATGTGGTTTTGTACAAAAGCTTGTGCTGTAGGAGTCAGCTGTGAGCACATAAGTACCCAAAAAAATTTTACGTAATTGAATTTGATATTTTTTTGGGCACCTGTGTGATGTGATTATTTTTTTAGACACCAACACTCAGGCTTATCAAGGTCGCTTACATAATTGATTTTTGTACCAAACACCCATAACCTAATAAAAGTTTCAATATATATGGTCGAACATCATTATTAGAGAACGTATGGTACTATATCAAAATTGAAATTTTATTCATATAATATATTATCAGTACATATTACCCAACATTTATAATCATGATCTTTTGTATATAAAAAACATGTACAAGTTCCAACTCGAGTGAAAAATTTCTTTCGATCGAGAAGACCCGTGAGAGTGAAAGTGATGCTCCAGACAAAGTGAAAATGGTGGAGAGAGACGAAGAAGAGGGTTGTCATTGGACCTGCAGTTGTAACATCAACAAAACAACAAGGGTCGAGAAGTTGGTTAGGGTTCGCGCAGTTCTACTTTCTAAAAAACACCACGTGAAGGGCTTTAATGCTACAGAAGACGGACGTCCAAGACAGCGAGAAGATGATTTTTTAGGGTTTAGCGAGAATGTTAGTCTTTGAACACCAGAAAGATAGGAGAACTGAGAGAGATGAGGGAACACGAGAGGTCAGGCGAAAGCGAAATTGTGAAATGCAAATGAAAGAAGAAGCGAAAGCGCGAAATGAAATTTCGTATTTTTTTCTTCCCATAATACCCTTGCCTAATCAATTGCATATTAATTTATTTTCTTAAACATCAGCCAATAGATAACCGCCATGTGGCGTTGTCAAAATTGTGTCAAGAAAATGTTGTTAAAGAAACCTTTTCCTTTAAGAATATTTTGGTGCTCGAGTCGAGTAAATAATTACTATTTTAGGTATGAGAAAACTTTTTACTTTAACCAAGTATACACAAAGATAAAACAAGTAAACAATAAAGCATGAACATAAAAAAGTTAACTTCCCTCACTTTCAATGATTTGACTACTTTCTTAAAAAAATTATGTTCTAAGGTGTAATTAAGATAAATAGAATGAGAGGGAAAAAAAGTTGCAATTGAAACGGTGGAGGAAGATGATGTAATGTGCTTCTTTCATAATTCACATGTTTGGCTTTGTATCGACTATGTTATTGCTTTTTACTATTTACACATTGAAAATTTGTTAAGTGTGGAGAAAGTGGAATGTCGCATGATGTAAGTTTCAAAAGAGTTGGTCATTGATGTATAAAAATTATTATTTTCTTTATACTATTCCATTTTGAAAATTTTGTATAAAAGACAACCTAAAAAATGATGGATGCTCACGGGTGACAGCAAGGGTCAAGTCTTACAATATTAAATTGGTACATTGAGTGTATGAAACCAATTTAATGTATCAATCGAACAACAATAGCATAATCAAATTACTATACAATGTATTTTAATACCGTCGACACTTATCACAACTTTATCGTGTCCGTCATAACTTTAAAAAGAATAATCATTATAATTCTTTACTAGTTTTTCATATCTTAAATGGTTGTTTACAATTTGATAGTAAAATCGTGAGAAGAAGAGAGGAACGAGAGAATGAGGAAATATAAGTCGGTCTTTCCAACGAGTGAGATCAAGAGATAAGTTTTAGGTGCAGGGGTGCAGGTCTTTATAATATGCATGCATTGATGCATTGATAGGTGCAGGGGTGCATGTCCTTACATTATTCACATTGGAAAATAATTATAAAGCTTATTTAAAAGATTTCAATGCTCATTTAATCATATTTTTTAAATTCTACGTATAAAAATTTCTCGATTCAATCCACTTTATTGTTTAACATAATAAAAATATATTTAGTTTTTGTAGATTAAGCTGACTCATCCTTGACGAGGCAAGATTAAACAAAGGCTGAGTTGTTAAGGACCGACTTTGAAATTGCAACTTGTGGTAATTTTCAAGTTTTCGACGTTCAAAAGAAAACAAGATATTTCATTCATAGGAACTTAGCTGTTCCTCTCTGTCAAACATATGATGTCTGAAATGGATAAAATTTCGTACACAGCACCACTCTGCAACTTACCATAAATTGTTGCCAAACCTTACTACTTCAAATTCCAACCTCTTTCATTCAACTCATTCGCATTCTCAAACTTCGTTACTTTCTGCTTCGTATACTTTCTGCTGTTTCTGCTATCTGATCAAGTTATCACTCCTCTTTAACCTCTGTGTGTCAACATGACTGTGACGGCGGCGCCAACGGTGAAGGACGGGTGTCTTACGGTGAGGGGAAAGACCGTTTTGTCCCATGTCCCCGGAAACGTTGTTGTTTCTCCGGTTGGAACAGAGTCCGCGTTCTTGGGTGCAACTTTAACCGTTTCAAGTTCTCGTCATGTTTTTGATCTTGGAATTCTTCAGTGAGTCTCTGCTTTTATTCGCCTTTTTCTTTGCTTGGCTTTCTCACCTTCACCAGAAGTTTCTACATTTGTATTAAACGTCTATGATTATGTTGACGTGTTATACACCTCGTTGAGTGTTACTGATTTTCAATAATTTTATAAACTAGCAAAGTCTAAATTTATCAGAAGAGATTATGTTTGTGTGTATAATTTGTTGGCTTTTTTTTTCTTCTTTTTGGTAACTTTAATTCTGATTGTTCGTTAATAAGTTCTGATATATTATGATTGTGTATTATTAGTTAATACATGAAAAATCTGCACCAAAGTCTGAGAGTTGTTTACTGAAACTTACTGTGGAAATAAAAAAAACGCAGGGGACATAAGTTGCTATCTTTGTTCAGAGTAAAAATCTGGTGGATGATACCGCGTCTAGGGAGATCTGCCAGTGATGTTCCAATGGAAACTCAATTGCTGCTCCTGCTAGCAAATGAAGAATCTGCACTTGAGGATGAGCCTTCTTCTGACTGTGAAGAGCCAGCTACGGATAAAAATTGCTACATTCTCTTCTTGCCTGTTTTGGATGGACAGTTTCGCGCAACTTTACAAGGAACTCAATCGAATCAGCTCCAGTTTTGCATTGAAAGTGGTAGTTAATTCAGTTTTCACTATTTCATTTCCTTCCCGTTATTATCATCCTCAGCTCGGATATTTAAAAGTAATGAGTATGACTTTAGATTTTTAATGCTGCAGGAGATGCCAATGTTCAAACTTGCCAATCACTAGAATCAGTATTTGTAAATTCAGGGGACAATCCATTTGAGTTAATCAGGGATTCAATCAAGTATGCTTCTTGTTCTAGAATGTCCTTAGTCTCTATCTGCTCATTTGCTTAGAAAAGAAGTCAGGAAATGTTAATTTTATATTTACCATGACATAGGATATTGGAGAAACACAAAGGGACTTTCTGTCATCTCGAAAACAAGAGTATCCCTGCACATCTTGACTGGTTTGGATGGTGCACTTGGGATGCTTTTTACACTGAAGTGAATCCACAAGGAATAAAAGAGGGCCTTCAGAGGTATACTGCATACGTACTACTTTTTTAACTAAGTACACCTATTGATAGATGGCCAGAAAATTTTGGAGATATCGATGACTGAGGATTTTTCCTTTTATCAAACAGTTTCTCAGATGGAGGTTGTTCGCCAAAGTTTATCATCATTGATGATGGATGGCAAGAGATCCTCAATACGTTTCACAAAGAAGGTGAAGCAGTGATCGAGGGAACCCAGTAAGTTCTCTTTTCAGTCGAGGCCGCACGTTTTCTCCTCCATTTTCTTAGTCATTTGTTCACGTCTTTTTTGAACTGTTAGGTTCGCAACTAGACTAGCAGACATCAAAGAAAACAAAAAGTTCATCTATTCAGACTCTGACAATTCTTGCAGCAATCTCCACGATTTTGTTGACTATATCAAACATAATATGAATGTAAAGTAAGCTGTCTGATCCCATAAAGATACCATGCTATGATTACATTGAAACTTAAGAACTGACCATGAATACAATTGTATACCTTTAGATACGTTTACATGTGGCATGCTTTAGCTGGTTATTGGGGAGGTGTACTCCCATCATCAAATACAATGAAGAAATATAATCCAAAGCTTGCATATCCAATTCAGTCACCGGGTGCCACAGGGAACCTTAGAGATATAGCCATGGACAGCCTGGAAAAATATGGAGTGGGAATCATTGACCCAGAAAATCTGTATGACTTTTACAATGACTACCACAGTTACCTTGTCAGCTGTGGTGTGGATGGAGTCAAAGTAGACGTCCAAAATTTGATAGAAACGTTGGGTTCTGGGTACGGTGGTCGTGTTTCATTGACCAAACGGTATCAAGAAGCATTAGAGGAATCTGTAACAAGGAACTTTAAGGATAACAACCTTATTTGCTGCATGTGTCACAACTCGGATTCAATATACAGGTTTGCATCCTATCTAATTAGAGGCAAGTACAATCCAAAATTTTGTTTGAATCCCTTTTCTGACTAGTTATTTTACATTCACAATTTTCAGTTCAAAGAAGAGCGCAGTAGCAAGAGCATCTGAGGATTTCATGCCAAGAGAACCAACATATCAAACCTTACACGTTGCCTCTGTCGCGTTTAACAGCCTTCTTCTTGGTGAGATATTTGTGCCAGACTGGGACATGTTCCATGTAATATTCCTGTCTCATTGCTTGTCCAAATCTTTCATGAACGAACATATTAATGACTCGCTTGATATGATTTATTAATGATTCTATTTCAGAGCAAGCACGAGACAGCGGAGTTCCATGCTGCAGCAAGAGCAATTGGTGGCTGTGCAGTATATGTAAGGTAAGGCATCAAATCATATTAAAGTCTAGCTCTCCCTTCGAAACCAATTTCTTAACCATATAAAAAGTTTGAAAAAAATTACTTATCAAATTTGTTGCACTACAGTGACAAACCTGGCAATCATGATTTTAAAATCCTCAAAAAGCTAGTGCTACCTAATGGATCCGTCTTGAGAGCAAGGTTTGCTGGCCGTCCTACTCGAGATTGTTTATTTGAAGACCCAGTGATGGATGGTAAGAGGTAANCCCAGAAAATCTGTATGACTTTTACAATGACTACCACAGTTACCTTGTCAGCTGTGGTGTGGATGGAGTCAAAGTAGACGTCCAAAATTTGATAGAAACGTTGGGTTCTGGGTACGGTGGTCGTGTTTCATTGACCAAACGGTATCAAGAAGCATTAGAGGAATCTGTAACAAGGAACTTTAAGGATAACAACCTTATTTGCTGCATGTGTCACAACTCGGATTCAATATACAGGTTTGCATCCTATCTAATTAGAGGCAAGTACAATCCAAAATTTTGTTTGAATCCCTTTTCTGACTAGTTATTTTACATTCACAATTTTCAGTTCAAAGAAGAGCGCAGTAGCAAGAGCATCTGAGGATTTCATGCCAAGAGAACCAACATATCAAACCTTACACGTTGCCTCTGTCGCGTTTAACAGCCTTCTTCTTGGTGAGATATTTGTGCCAGACTGGGACATGTTCCATGTAATATTCCTGTCTCATTGCTTGTCCAAATCTTTCATGAACGAACATATTAATGACTCGCTTGATATGATTTATTAATGATTCTATTTCAGAGCAAGCACGAGACAGCGGAGTTCCATGCTGCAGCAAGAGCAATTGGTGGCTGTGCAGTATATGTAAGGTAAGGCATCAAATCATATTAAAGTCTAGCTCTCCCTTCGAAACCAATTTCTTAACCATATAAAAAGTTTGAAAAAAATTACTTATCAAATTTGTTGCACTACAGTGACAAACCTGGCAATCATGATTTTAAAATCCTCAAAAAGCTAGTGCTACCTAATGGATCCGTCTTGAGAGCAAGGTTTGCTGGCCGTCCTACTCGAGATTGTTTATTTGAAGACCCAGTGATGGATGGTAAGAGGTAAGTAACATGTTACTATCTGTCTCTCAAGAATTTTCTGCTTCGCTTTCATTCTTTACTGAGCAGTGAACACGCATATCCCTACTCACTATTTTGCAGTTTGCTGAAAATTTGGAACTTGAATGCACTGACCGGGGTGGTAGGCGTTTTCAATTGCCAAGGAGCAGGAAGCTGGCCACTGAAATCGCTGGAAGCAGCACCTTTTCACATAACCATTTCAGGGAAACTGAGACCCCTTGACGTTGAATTTCTTGAAGAAGTTGCTGGAGAAAATTGGAGTGGAAATTGCATAGTATATGCCTTCAATGCAGGTGAAAACTCCTGCATCAATTAATCACATTTCATTTCCTTTTAGAACCTAACACACATTCATTCCTCTGTAAATATGCCAAAACTAACTACTGTATAATACTTTAGGCTTGCTTTCCATGGTTTCTCTGAGAGGAAAACTTGAAGTGTCCCTGGATACACTTCAATGTGAAATATATACAGTATCTCCAATAAGGGTAAGTACTCAATAGGCCTACTTTGCAACCTACATTTTGTGAAAAACCATCTTTACTAAGTCTCTAATGAGAAAGAGTGTTCATGTGTGTCTAAACAGGTGTTTGGTCATAATGTGCACTTTGCACCAATAGGATTGCTTGACATGTACAATTCGGGAGGAGCAGTAGAGGCCTTGCACTGCAACATGGATGTTGCACAGTGCATAATAAAAGTCAAAGGCAGAGGTGGTGGCCGTTTTGGAGCCTACTCCAACGTTAGACCAAAGCTTTGTGTAGTGGACATGAAGGAGGAGGAGTTTTCCTACAACCCTGAAGATGGATTATTGACGTTTAAGCTTGATGGTGAAGGCAATTCAAGGGATATAGAATTTGTATACTGAGGTGGCTATATAAACTCACAAAGTAAATGTATTCCGATTCCTCTTCAGAGACATCTTTCACTCACCTAAAACTGGAAGTAACCATATACGGAATTTTGTTTTAAGAAAAAAAGGAGTTGCTTAATTTTGGTGTTATACAATTCAAAATAGAGTAAAGGTAATATAACACCTTCACATTCATTTAACACATTTAATAAGGTTAAAATAGTCTTAAAAGAATGAAATTTTGTAATTTTTTCAAGAAAAATGGTATCATGACATACTTTTACATTCATTTAACATAGAGTTTAAAAATAAAATGATTATAAAAGTGTGAACTTTTGTGTTTTTCCAATAAAGAAGAGAATAAAAGATAAGAAAGAATAGTATTAAATAAATATAAAAAATTTAAGTGTGTCATACAATATTTTTCTTTTTTTGAAAAAGAAGAAAGTAAAAAATAAAAAGTAAAGATGAATAATGAATTAAAAAATTATGTGTCATATATATATATATATATATATATATATATTTTTTTTTTTTTTTTAAATATTAGTGTAAATTGAAATGGTCTCACTCTCTATGTAACATTTGTAGGTTTTTTAACACGAATGGGAAGTTTGTCCATTATTTACTGGACGATTGACTTAAAAGTTATACTGCAATAATAAGTTATATGGGAGTCCTAAGTACTTCTAAATTAAAATCGCATAAGTTGTATGGATCCTAAAATGTGAAATCATTATATGTTTTAACGATTTTTTTCAAATGTTTTGAACTAAGTCGTTATAAATGGTAACAATTTTCAGTTTAGAAGATGTTGTCTACACTGATTGGTGACTTTAAATTCCACTAAAGTTGTCGTCTATGATAACTTCAGTTTTAATGAATTTTTTATAGTTATTTTATATATAACCAAATATAAAATAATTTTTTAATAGATATTCATGCTTTGAACGTGGCAAAAACTTAAAGAGAAACTAAGAGCTTGAACTTTGCTTTAACACATGAAATCTTACTCAACATTTTGAAAGGTTTCATCATTGTTAAACTTTGAGTTAATTTGTATTTTAAATGATTAAGAAACATAGCTGTCAAGTTGGGTAGCTTTAACATTTCAAATTTAAATGAAAGTTCTAAACAATTCTTAAATACATTTTAATTAAAACCAACAAAGATTAAAGAATGAAAATTTGCTTAAAATACATGTAACACCACAATTACAACTCAAACACTAATTAACTACAATATCAAATCTTCAACACGTCCATAATCAAATCCAAGTGGTTGGGCTTAATCAAGCTTACTTCAATCTTTAATCTTCAAATAACTTTAGAAGGTAAATAATTTGTTTTTTTGACTAAGAATATTTTTCTCTAGAAATTCCCAACACTCATCATATTACACTTCATTCTAAGCATAAACAACACATTTTAAATGAGACTTGCCTTGCCATTCTTTATTTATATCATTATGTTTACCATGCCTTCTATTGATAAGATTATGTTACCATTTTGTGACTCAAACATCATTTGGTTAAAGGAGTCAAAACAGTTAAATAAAAATATATTTTTATCTTATTTTTAGGAAGATTTTATGCATTATTTAATTAATTAGATTTTATGCATTATTTAATTAATTAGATTTTATGCATTATTTAATTAATTAATTTAGAAGATATTTTTCCAAAGTTGGTTACAAATGATGTAGTATAAATATTTACTGTTTATGCTCAATAAAATGATCAGTTTCCCTTCTATTCTTTTGCCTCTTATACGGTAAAACCACAACAATTGGTATCAAGAGCAAAAAGGATCTTACGGGATCTGTGATATAACCCACAAACACCTACCACCATAAAATAGCCACCACACATAAGATGAAATCTCAAACATCCTTTACTACCGTTTCTATACCTGTATTTGATGGACGAAACTATCAAATGTGGGCTGTCAAAATGGAAGCATATCTAGATGCTAACGATGTGTGGGAAGCGGTAGAAGAGGACTACGAAGTGTCTCCCTTGCCAGATAATCCTACGGTTGCTCAAATGAAAAATCACAAAGAAAGGAGGCTTCGAAAATCCAAAGCCAAATCAATTTTGTTCACAAGCCGTATCTTCAGTCATTTTCAACAGAATAATGACATTGAAAACGACATATGAAATCTGGAAGTTTTTGAAGGAGGAGTATGAAGGCAGTGAGAGAATCAAAGGAATGCAAGCTTTGAATCTGGTTTGAGAACTTGAGATGCAAAGGATGAAAGATTCGGAGACAATCAAAGATTATGCATACAAGCTTCTCGACATTGCAAACAAAATACGTCTTCTTGGCACTGATATTCCTGATTCTCGAATTGTTCAAAAAATACTTGTAACAATTCCAGAAAGATATGAAGCCACATTGACTTCCTTAGAGAACTCAAAAGATCTTTCTACTATTATCTTGGCAGAACTTTTGACTGCACTTCAGGCTCCAGAACAAAGAAGACTCATGAGAGAAGAATGTCATATTGAAGGGGCTTTGATAGCTAAATTTATGAAAAACAAGGGTAAGTCTTTCAACCACAAAAATGATAGCAAATCCTTTCATGTTTTTCCATCATGTCCTTTTTGTAAGAAAAACAATCATCTAGAGACGAAATGTTGGTGGAGGCCAGATGTGAAATGCCATAAATGTGGACAATTAGGGCATGTGGAGAAAATCTGCAAGTCATCAAAGATACAAGAGAATGTACAAGTTGTTGTTGAAGAGGGTGAAAAAGAAGATCTTTTGGTTGTTTCTTGCTTTGCCACTGCAAGATCAACAGAAAGTTGGCTAATTGATAGTGGTTGCACGAACCACATGACTTACAATAAAGAATTATTCAAAGATCTTGATGCAACCTATAACACATATGTTATAATTGGAAACTGATCAAAAATATCAGTGAAGGTCAAAGGAACCATTGCGTTCAAAGGTTGCACAGGTTTGAAATTAATTACTAATGTTCTATACGTTCCTGAAATTGATCAAAACTTGTTGAGTTTTGGCCAACTTCTAGAGAAAGGTTATAAAGTTCTATTTGAAGATAAAACCTGCATGATTAAAGATTCAGATAACAAAGAATTATTCAGAGTTCGAATGAAAGGCAAGAGCTTTGCTTTGAATTTGATTGATAAAAAGCAATTTGTTATGCACAAGGTTGAAGACAATATGCAGGTACAAGGGCTCCCCAAAATAGAAGAGAAATCACCCGTATGCGCAACTTTGCAATATGAAAAACAAACAAGGTTGTCTTTTCCAAAAGACAAATCTTGGAGAGCAACAAACAAACTGCAGTATGTCAATGAACTTAAAAGAACTCCATCTCTGAATGACAAGAAAGTAGAGCTAGTGGGTGTTAAAGTTGGTGAAATTCAAATTAAACCAGAAAAATTAGAGGAAGAAAAGCATCCTAAGACAACTCTTCCCGAAGCAGAAGTTGAAAATGCGGAAAAGCCAAAAGAACAACAACAAGTAGATGAGAAAATTGCAGAAGATTGTAAGGACGTGCAGACTAAGCAAGAAATTGTGACCGGGACTTCCAAAAGTGAAGGAACTTTAGATGATACGATCAAGGACGAAAAAACTTAGCATATGCTGATTTTGAGTCAAGGAGGAGATTGTTGGGATTTTGTGACTCAAACATCATTTGGTTAAAAGAGTCAAAGCAGTTAAATAAAAATATATTTTTATCTTATTTTTAGAAAGATTTTATGCATTATTTAATTAATTAGATTTTATGCATTATTTAATTAATTAATTTAGGAGATATTTTTTCAAAGTTGGTTACAAATGATGTAGTATAAATATTTACTGTTTATGCTCAATAAAATGATCAGTTTTCCTTCTATTCTTTTGCCTCTTATACGGTAAAACCACAACAACCTACAAGTTTGATTCATCACAAGTTTTCATTAATTCATTATTGACTACATTTGGTTGACATAATATTCCATGGAATCTTGGTCAAGCATGGCCATTATTCAATTTTGACTTCTAAGATACTACAAATTCACTTTTGTTATTCTTTCTAACTTTTCAATGTGTTCTGTAAAATGTTTCATATTTTTCTAATCATGTTGAACTTTGAGGTTTTCACGAGATCTAAACATTAGATGTTAAAGACACCTTATTCTATTATTTTTCTTCTTAGATATATAACTTTCTTATTCTTCTTACCTTTCGAATGTGTTGTGCAAAATGTCCAATATTTCTCTAGTTGCACTAACCTCTTAAAAATTTCACAATATCTACACATTGGATGTTATATAAACCTTATTCTATTATTATTATTTTCTTAGATACAACTTTATTTCTTTATTAAAAATAATCCATCCTTCACTATTTTAATAATTTCATGAAGACCAATAACGACCTATATTCTCACAAGCCACTCATCACAATTCTTCCCATTTAATATCAATAAAAAAAAAATGAGATTTGGATGTTATTTGAGAAAGTCATACTTACTAATAAAAGTCCCATAGTTATTGGATAGAGATATAGTAATACTCTCCCACTTGGGCGGCCCATATGAAAAAAAAGCCCACATGTGTTATACTTGTGAGGTTTCGGCTTGTGTATGATATTTTAAAAGCATAACCCTTCCCCTGTTTTTCTTATCCTCAGACGCTCTTGTTGTTTTTGTTGTTCTTCTTCTCTTGTTACAACCCCTTCACCGTTTCTTACATGTCTATCACTGCCACTGCGTTCAAGTCTCTCACCATGGCCGATTCGTGCCTCCTCTCTTCTCCCTCATCCCTCTTTCACAACATAACCAAATCCCATGTTTTCTCACCTCCTTCCAAACCCCTTACACTCCAATTCTCATGCCTCAATTCCTCCCCCTCGCTCTCTCTCTCCCTCGCTGCACGAACCCACCGTTACCCCGTCCTTACCCACGTCGCCCAAACTTCTGATTGGGCCCAGCAAGAAGACAACACCGCCACCTTACCGGACCAAGAGGAAGAACAAGAAGGGGGTGGCCTCCTCGATTGGGAGGTCGCGGGCGAAGGCGCGGAAGATGAGGGTTTCGTGGAACCACCGGAAGAGGCCAAGCTCTTCGTCGGGAACTTGCCTTACGACGTTGATAGTCAGAAATTGGCCATGCTATTCGAACAAGC